AAATCACATCTTAAGATTTTAGTTCAAAAACGAATCATAGGGCTAATACAGTATTGCAGCCATACCACAACTAGACCTAGAATCCGCAACTAAGTTTTATTATGGTCCGACTGACACACACCTAAACCTGGATGTGGTAGTTGTCAATTTAAAGGCTTAAGGATTTATGGATCAACAACTTAGTCTGATTAGTTGATTTAAGAGTTAGACCGAGACTTACTGCTTGAGGTACTATCTACTACATAATTATAATAGGAAATTATATGTATTTTATGATTCTTATACTATCTCTCATAAACATCTTTCATGATTGATTTCTTATGTAGGGTTTTAGAGTGATATAGAGGACATATGGGCTTGGGTGTCGTATCCTTTACCGGAAAAGGATCAAGTTGTGCCACACACGCCAGAGACAAAGAGTGACTATGGTCCTACGATGCCTCTACCCCTTACCCCAATATCAATCGAGGATGGTGATGATGTGTCGTTTGAAGGCGAGGAGGAGACTGTTGAGGAGGCTGAGAAGCACGATGAGGAGTTCGGTGGGGAACCAACAAATAGCTAACCATATCCAGATTTTTCATCCCATGATAACCTTGTTTAAGCATGTTGTGATGACTCAGGAGGAGGACACTACTGAGTCTGAGCCATCCCTATAGTTTGTGACTCTACTACCCTTATCTTTTAGCCGATCCTTCAGTATTCATGCTTCAGAGCGTAGGACGATATGCACTCCAAGAAAATCCACCCCCATTCCATCCCGACACGATACGACATTGTGTTTTTTACATTTAATGGTAAACCGTGTCAATTTCGTGTCGAATTTCGAACGCGATTATTGATGGGTTTTGTACATAAGAACATTCCTAAGTGCACATACAAACCCTAATGCTTGGATCTAGGTTTCTCTATTAAACATGCTTTGAATCCAAGACTTCTAATGACTTATTAGGTGTAAGAACACTACAAAATCAGATCTAGAAACATACCTTTGATTCTCTTTTTTGATCTTGTTGTCTTGGAGCTCTAGAGTCACAATTGTCACTCCTTTAATGGCTTACAAACACCAACTAGCGAAGAGGATGATTTGAGAGAAAGGAGAAAGGTGAAATTAAGCAAGGGTTCTCTACCTTAGATGATGTGTCGAATTCCCTCAGCTATAGGGTCTATTTATACTTGTAGACTCCTTAAGGGTTACCGCTTAAACCCTAGTTGGATAACTTAGACTTTAAGTTAATTCATATCCTTACCTTAGATACCCTTTGGACGATTTTAAGGCTTATCCTAGCCCTAGAAATCGTCCACCCTATCTCCCATAAGGATTTACAGTCTAAAGTGTAACTATCAAACAATTGACAGTTTATACCCTCTTATTTAATCAATCTCTTTAACTCACCAAATTAATACTAATTAATCTATGACTCATATTAATCAAATGACTATATTATTATTCCTTATATTATTCTCATAATATATTAATAATATCTATTCTCTCATAATAAATCATCCTACCAAGTTGCTATGGTGAAGGCAACCCAAAAGGACCATGCACAATCGGGTCAAATACTTGCCTAATATAGTTGCAGCCTTAGACACTATTCCAACAGTCTCCCACTTGGATAAGTCTAGTAACTATATGCGTAGGTACATTCCGATTTGCAATCGTAGCTCTCAAAGACGCTGTCAAACTCTGATCTAATCACTCTTGTCCTTAAGATAAGGGATCGTACCGTCCTTTGTTAGATATCATGCTGACAATACTATGGAATAGTTAGTCTAGCATTTGGTTTCTCGATCTCCGATTTATTTGACATAGAACTTAATCGAAACACATCAATTCAGTTTGACCGGGCCCGGCACATAAGTCAAATCAAATCATCGAGCGGCCGAGATATCACTTTTTCCTTCTTAGGATAAAAGTTACAGATAAACTTCACTTATATGCATTTACTTATTCATTAACCAACTACACACACAATGCGTTTTATAACATCGAGTTACCAATGCGTTTTCGCATTATCAATGTACAATCAATTAACCAATAACAAACCATATATCTAGGTTTTAAGACTATATGATATTATCGTCTTGCGATCACCCATTTACTATCACATTCCATAAGGTGATTCCAGCAAGCGCGGGTTTGTTCCAATGCTCAAACCTAGTTCATAAGCACTCATGAACGTTGCAGCAATCTTTTGCTATGTCTAACACCATTTAGACACTCTACACACCTATTCATGACAATCTTCATTCATATCTACTTCCGACATATGAACGATTGTGGACTATTTGAACAATTCGATTATTCTTAATAAACTCAATTATTCTGGAAGTCAAAACATGCAAAGTGAAACAATAGTTAAACAATTAACATAAGACAGTAACATTACTTATAAATAAAACTCCTTTATTTAATCATCAAATGTTAATTACATTTATCTATTACACGTTTCTAATACTATCTAATCTATGCTAATATCATCCTTCAGCCCAATACTCTAGCATGCTGCAAATGCTTAACCCTACTCAGTCCCTTCGTAAGCGGATCTGCTGGGTTATCTTCTGATGATATCCTCTTCACTACGAGTTGTCCTTCTTCTACACGATGTCTAATAAAGTGATATTTTCTGTCGATATGTCGTGATCTACCATGATCTCTTGGTTCCTTGGTCAAGGCAACCACCCTTCATTATCACAGAAAATCTCCATGGGCTCCTTTATGGCAGGTACAACTCCAAGATCACCAATGAAGTTCTTTAGCCATATTGCCTCCTTCGACGCTTCGCTCGCTGCAATGTACTCTGATTCGCACGTTGAATCAGCTACGGTTTCCTGCTTGGAACTTTCCAAGTTACTGCTCCTCCATTCAGGGTAAAGACCCAGCCCGACTGCGAACGGTAGTTGTCCCTGTCGGTCTGAAAACTGGCGTCACTATACCCTCGCACCTTCAAGTCATCACTCCCTCCAAGGACTAAGAACCATTCCTTCGTCCTCCGAAGGTACTTAAGGATATTCTTCACCGCAACCCAATGGGCTTTGCCAGGGTTCCCTTGATATCTACTAACCATGCTCAAAGCAAAGGCTACATCAGGGCGAGTACAAGTCATAGCGTACATGATTGAGCCAACTGCGGAAGCGTATGGAACTCGACTCATTTCAGCTATCTCGGCTTCGGTACTCGGACTTTTAGTCTTACTCAACTTGGCATTGCTTTGTATCGGTAATTCTCCCTTCTTCGAGTTTTCCATACTAAAACATTTTAGTACCTTCTCTAAGTAAGTGTTCTGACTAAGTCCTATTAGTCTCTTACTTCTCTCTCTTACTATCCTTATTCCCAAAATATAGGAAGCCTCTCCGAGGTCCTTCATAACGAAGCACTTCCCGAGCCAGGACTTAACTTCCTGCAGAGTCGGGATGTCATTTCCTATGAGTAATATGTCATCAACATATAGAACGAGGAAGCTTACTACACTCCCACTGGCTTTGACATATACACACGATTCATCTTCGCTTCGCACAAATCATAACTCTTTGACTTTCTCATCGAAGCAAAGATTCCATCTGCGAGACGCTTGCTTTAGTCCATAAATGGACTTCTCAAGCTTACACACTCTATTCGGATGCTTCGGATCCACAAACCCCTCTGGCTGAGCCATGTAAACATCCTCAACCAACTTCCCGTTAAGGAAAGCGGTCTTGACATCCATTTGCCAAATCTCATAATCATGAAATGCGGCAATAACTAGCATCACTCTAATAGATTTTATCTTCGCAACTGGTGAGAAGGTCTCTTCATAGTCAACTCCGGGAGTTTGAGTAAAGCCCTTCGCTTACCAATCATGCTTTAAATGTGTGTACCTTTCCATCCACGTTGGTCTTCTTCTTGAAGATCCATTTGCACCCAACGGTCTTACATCCGGGCACATTATCAACCAAGTTCCAAACTTGGTTATCATACATGGCTTGATCTTTCCTTCCTTGATGGCTTGCAGGTACTCCGGACAACTTCTCTTCCAATGTCCTATCTTGTGGCAATGGTGGCACTCTGCCTCCTTCGGGTTGGAGCAGGGCTTAGCGGGATCAACTTTGGTCCCACTAGAAGAGGCACCATCTCGGGCTTTCACCTTGCGATGGTTCTTTGACGAAGCCTTCCTCTTCTTTCCCTTTCCTTGTCCAATTGCCAAGACAGGAGCAGCGGGCAGATTGAGAGTTGGTGCAACAGACTTATCCTTGAAGTTGCTCTCAGCGACCCTCAAGAGACCTTGGAGTTTGCTTAGGGTGACCTCTTCTTTGTTCATGTGATAGGTCATCCTAAATTGATTGTAGCTCGGAGGCAAAGAGTGAAGCACCATGTCGATCGCCAAGTCTTCCCCAAAGTCAACATTTAACTTGCGAAGGCGGTCGACATACCTTTTCATCTTTTACAAGTGCACGGTAAGAGACTTTCCATGACCCATCTTAGCGGAAATCATGTTCGTGAAAATCTCATAACGCTCTTGTCTTGCGTTTTGATGGTATCTCTCTAATAAGTCTTGATGCATTTCGTACAGATACATGTCCTCGTAGGACTTTTGGAATTCGGAGTTCATAGTCGCGATCATGATGCAATGTACTTTCGTTGCATCATGTTCGTGAGTTTCGAAAGCGGTGATTTCGGCGGGAGTAGCAATTTCGGGGTTGATTTTCGCGAGCTTCTCATCGAGGACATACTCCTTATCCTCATAGCGAGCAATCATGCGAATGTATCTTATCCATTCGCTAAAGTTCGTTCCATCAAAGGTGACCTTTTGACAAAGGCTCATCAAAGTGAAAGAACTCGCAACAGCATTGTTGGCGTTCGACATCTATAAATAGAAAGGACAAAGATAGATTAGAATATGAATCCCTAATATTCACCCAATAAGAAATTAGGGTTAGGATCCAACAACAATATTTACACACTAGAAAAGGGGTGCCGTAATCTAACATGCAAACAATTTGAAGGTAAGTGAATGACGATTCACTAATTCTCCACCATGAAAAACATAACTTTAAGTCCTAAATGTATTGAGAATTCCTAGGTTTGGATGAGATTCATTGAAACTTTTCAATGGCATGTTTAAATCTCGATATGCCCCTCTTGTTTGTGACTGGGATACCGAGGATCACAAAGCGGGTGTGAATTACCATGCAAATTCACATGGTGCCTTCATTGTAACGATCACCTATTCGATGTGCCGGTAAACCACACACGCTCCATCGAACTATGATAAACAATGAATCACCCTTTGCCACCTTCGCTTAGAACCAATTAGTGTGCCGGTAAACCACACACGCTCCACTAACTTCTTAGCAAGGTACAAAGTGTAATTTCATGGGATTGCATCAATTCACTTTTCTTAAAGTAACTAAGATTGGGAAATTTTAAGAAAACATGTAGTTACTTTGTATTTCTTATTATACTTTTAATGAGAGGATGAGGTTGTCCTATCCTACCCGTTCGGCTAACGACCCTCCACCAATCAAGCGAGCAGTGGGTGTGAGTGTACACCCATTAAGCGCCATTTTATAGGCCACAACCTT